ATGCGATCGAACTGTGGGAGATTCCATATTGGGGGGGAGAGAGTGAGAGGCATTAGGATCTCGTGTCAGCACAGTACAGTTCGTGGATAATTTAATGATGTAATATTAAGGAGAGAAAAAAAAAATGATAGAGAGAGAGGGAGATAGAGCCATCCCCCTCCCACCCCTTTCATCGCGCACTTACACCTGTATCTGCAAGCACACCGACACCTGGCATAAAAGTTTCCGCTCTATTGCAACCGTTTCAACGTGCGTGTGACCTTTTTACCTATCACCCCCCCCCCTCCTCCCCTCGTCCTCCTTCCCCTATCCCTACCCACTCCCCCAATCAAACGCCATCACATCCACTCGCCTAATAAAACGGCTTCAGGCGGCAGATTAAAGGCTTATTGAATGTCCGTATGCGCGTGCGCGTATAACATACCCACTGACCCGCGCTGTTAATTATTCTATCTTCTCGCTAGGTCACTGCCTGCTTTCATCCATGATATCTAGACCCTGATCTTGTCTATTAAGTGTCTGCCCGTTACATCAAAACAGTAACAAATTTCACTAAATGCATAAATCAATTTAGGAACATGTACTTGTGATATATTTTGAAGAAATCTTAGAGGTGCGAGAGGGGGCAGAGGGGAGGAGCATTTTTTAATAAGTTTGTTTGCGTCTGTGTATTCAAAAAGGGGGAAAGGTTATGAAGTGAATTAAGCGCAGCCTTCACAACTTAAACCACCGTCTTGATAGGATAGACCGGTAGTGACGAGACCAGGTGATATACTACTGGTTCCTGAAGATGCGAGCTCTTGTTCGTAGAATGCACCATTGTGCTGCATCACTGATGGGTTTTCTTGAATCGACTGTCTCCCGTAGAATGAGTTCGACCACGTGGAAGTAGTATCAAATCCTGACGACGCCCATGGAGTCCTAGACTTTTGAGGACAGTACCAAGGCTCTTGACTCATTTGTGGGTACGGTTGCATTTGAGGGTGTTCTGCTGTGGAAATATGACCATTTCCAGTTGAATCCACTTCATAAGCCTCCTCAGAGCCTCGAAGCGAATTTTCGTATTCTTTGTACGACGGAGGAGTAAGATAAGGCTGTATCATGGAAGCGTCCAAGCCGTTTTCTTGCAACTGACGTTTTAATTTGTATCGACGATTTTGAAACCAAATTTTGACCTATCAAGAGAAGGAAAAGGAATGTAAAAGTTCTCTAAATTGGCAGAACCATACAGAGTGCACACTTTATGGTTCTTTTATCAGTGTTTTCCCCTCGATTGATCGCAAAAGGTCGGGTTTTCTCAGCGGTAAATAGCGGTATACTTATGTAGTTTGCATTATCTCGAAAACAGGCTAACAAAGTGTGAGAATTCCTGATTCACATAAAAGCGGAAAAAAACTCGGGTTTCGATGGCCAACCAATCTCAGATGACCTAGCAATAAAGCACGGGGTCATGTTGTTTTTATCCCCCTCGTCTGGGAGGTAACATTTAATTAACATCGTCGCCTTCTAGGCTGCATTAATCTATGGCATTTCAGCCAAAGACGCGCGCGGCAGCACGCGTTTTTAACCGAATTATCGTCTGTATATCATGGGAATGGGTGGCAATCGGGCATGCGAATCACGTAATGCCGAGAATTTAAAAGTGCCTTTTGTCCAACACCAATGCCTGTGTTATTTATGCCTGTAATACAAATTTGTAAAATTGAGTGAGAGGCTTACTTTTATATCCCTCGGGATGGGGTGTGCGATAGACTTACCTCCACGTGGAGCACCCTGGGCAACGTATACTCATACGGTAAAAAAGTCTATTAACCGGCAGTTGACTTCTGACTTCAAACTACCATAACCCCAAAACCGGCAGTTGACTTCTGACTTCAAACTACCATGACCAGATCTATTAACTGGCAGTTGACTTCTCTATGTCATATTCGAAGTCTATAAACCGGCAGTTGACTTCAAACTATCGGCAAAAAAATTCTATTAACCGGCAGTTGACTTCTGACTTCAACGCAAAAAGGTCTATTAACTGGCAGTTGACTTCTCACTTCACAAAAAAGTCTATTAACCGGCAGTTGACTTCTGACTACTCAAACGGCAAAAAAGTCTATAAACCGGCAGTTGACTTCTGACTGAAAAGGTCTATTAACTGGCAGTTGACTTCTGACTTCAAATAAAAGTCTATCAATCGGCAGTTGACTTCTCACTTCAAACTAAAGTCTATTACCTGGCAGTTGACTTCAAACTACCATGAGTAAGTCTATTAACTGGCAGTTGACTTCTGAGTTCAAACTATCATGACCCCAAGTCTATTAATCGGCAGTTGACTTCTGACTTCAATTACCATCAAGTCTATCAACCGGCAGTTGACTTCTGACTTCAAACTACGTCTATTAACCGGCAGTTGACTTCTGACTTCAAACTACCATAAACCCCACTGTATGTCATATTCGACCCCTTACACAGTACTCATCCTACCTTTTCTCTGCATTTGTGTCTGTCTCTTTTGCATCTGTTCCCCGCCCGTCGAATTTCTGTTACTTTGATGTTCCTTCCCCCTGCGAAGCCCAAAGTCAGCTAAAGGGCTAATGAAACCTACCAAAACGCCTGCCATTTGAAATAAATAAATAAATGTCCCTCGGGATAGTAGAGGTAAGTTTTATTACTTGATTGGGTTAAACAACGAATACCATAAGTACCTATGGCTGATTAATTGTTGCGCGTTTAGGATTAAAATTGTCAAAAGAAGTGTGAATAATTCCAGGGTGGCAGGATTTAACCTGAAGGAGCGGGGTGACGAAACCAAGGAATAAAATGATACACCAGCAATGGCTGTAAATTGTAAATGTCGTCTTAATAGAATCGCCATGATCATCTCTACGTTCTGAGATATTTTTTTCTAGATATTTCGATTTAGCAAAAGGCACTTGAATTTGTCCGGGAAATGACAGGTATTGCAAACCAGTCAACCGAATAATAGTTTATAATATAAAATTATTCAAGCGAGATTAAATGACCGGGGGCAAAGATTTGTGCGATATTTGTCCAAGTTGCACTGACACCTGTGTTGACAGAGGACCACACATGTAGCTAGTCTCGTGGGTTATCAATCAGACATCGAAATGTCAACCACTATCGCATTTGAAAAGCATAGCCCTCCGATTGAACGCAAATATCTTTTGTTGGTCTTTTTGTGGTAGAAAGCAAACACAGAAGTCTTCTCGGGTAGTACTAGACTAACTGTGGGGTGTTTGCTAACAAACACTGTAAACTTTAGTCTCTAACTCCGAGAGAGAATGCAATGTCAACAAATGCAAAGGTCGTAGGTTTATGGGTGAACACCCACCCAAATGGAAGTCTAAATGATCTTGAGAGCCGGGTACTTGAACCGGTCAACAGTTTTTCACACACTCATTATTGGATCAGGTAATTATCTCCTACCCAACCTCCCCCCCCCTCGCCCTCCCCAACCCCAAATTAATTGTAAACCCACTTGCTGGGATGACATTTTCAGTTGGAGAGCTAGCTGTTCGCGATCAGGAGCCGAGAGGTAACGCTGTTGATTGAATCTCTTCTCCAGCTCATAAACTTGTGTTTGTGAGAAGAGAATGCGGGGTTTTCGTTTAGAGGTAGAACGCAGGGACTGCTGATGGTTGTTAGTGGTTTTACGAGGTGGTTGAGCACCCATTGCCCCGGGTGACAGTTTCATGTCGTCATCGTCCTCTCTGAGGAAATTTTCTTCTTTATCTGATAGACGGTTCTCCATGTAACCATTCTTCTCCATCTGGGGTGGCTGAATTGTTTGCAGGAATCGAGCGCCTAAATATGCAATAATATAGAATTCGTCAAGTTTGAAGACAAAAGAATACATGTAAATTGATAAAGTCAATTTGGGATCGTGACTATTAATTAAAGTTCAATCTGGTTTGGCATTTTCTATTCTGAAAATGGTCTAAATTGGTTTTCGCACACTTCTGATAACTGCTCTGTTAGGTTTAAATAAAATTTGGAAGACAATGTTGGAATTGATGCTTGCATATTGTGTAGCGTCCAAGTGCCTTTTAGGTATGTGCAGTTGATAGGTATCTATTCTCATTTCTACTTTCAGATGAAATGTAACTGGATAGTGAGCGGCAGAGAGTCTGATGTAACCTCCATTCAATGCACAAAATAAACTCGATATTCTCAAATTTGGGAAACTTTTGTACTTCTCAGGGCTTTCGTTATCAATTATCTCTACTGTAGTATCGGTGTCACTTTGCCATCTCTAATTCGTAATCACGACAATTTCAATAAAAGACTTAACAATAATTTAAGTTTCCAGTCTTGATATATACTTTATGCTTAATATTTTATTCATTTTTTTTTACTTATTTATATTATTTTGCATATGATTACCGCAGAAATTTTTTCTAATTACTCTAAATATGAATAATTTTAAATGAATAAAATAGTTGTGGATTCTTATGCCATCTGTTTGTTGGGCAACATAGGTTTAAATCTTACAATTAATCCTATTCATTTTCCAGAAAAATACTTGTCTGATGTAGTATAGGGGTGGTTGCCTGGTTGAAGATATCCAAATCTTCAATTTGGATAACGAATTTCAAATAAGATTCGAATTTACGGAAAAATGTTACCAATTCATATTCCCAGCATAGCAACAGAGGCAAAGTCAAAATAGATTAAATAAGTAAAACTCGAAAGACACATTTTTTAAAAATTTTATTAAACTTTTGCCATTCTTATTTCATATTGCCAAACATACTGTCTATCATTATTAATTTACTATTACCAAGCGCATTTCCGTTCCATGAATATGTAAAGCCAATCTATTATTTACTTTCCTGGTAATCTGTGATTTGTTGAAATTGCCAAACAAAGCATTTTAGTGCTAATTTACGAAATTGCAGCTGTTTCCGCAAAAGACTGAAACGACATTGCCGTGGTTGTTTGTGAATTAACTCCAAAATCTTAGAGTGCACCACAAATGTTTTGTGGCAGGTAATGTGCGAAAACCTATAACGTCCTAAAGAAGGCAGTTATCCCACGATAGACGAAAGTGCAATGCAATTTAAACAAAAACAATTTTCTAAACTTTCGTTTTTGGTTAGGGGCAGAGGCATTAAACGGCTACCAGAACTAATCTCAGAACCTAGCTGAATAAGCGTCAAACGAACTCACTTGCATCTCGATCACTTATGCTTGAAACGGGATGTGATAAGGACTGGCGGGTACGGTCATTGATTATTTCAAAATCGATATTATTGGAACTTTCAAGGGTGGAATGATAACCGAGTGGAGACACCGTTTGCTCCCAAAACTGGATCGGCGGTTGGTGGACTAAATTCTGCTGAAGAGGTTGAGAATCATGAGCAGTAGTATGATCGGTGGAAGGAAACCATTCACAGCTAGCGTAGTAATTCATGTTCAAAGTTATGTACATCACATGCCTCTTTTGGACTATTTATATGGTCACGGGGAATGACGGAACGCTCTCATTGGTTAACCATATCCCAGCCAGTATGCATAGTGAGTTTTACAGCCGCACATATGCGTGCGCGAAGCGTACGCAGACAGTTCCCATAATACTCTTGATTGTTAACACCCCTCCTTATTCCTTCCTCCTATCCACTTAAACATGTAAAGGCCCTCCCCTTTCGTAATTCACACGAGATTCAGCGGACCAATCAAATATTGCCTAAGGGCGCTTTAGAAGAAGAGTAGAAATTTCCGTCAAACGCCCCCACTAATGAAGATGGGATGATTGCATTGACAAGATTGATGGTCATAATGTTTCCACATACGTAATAATCCACTCTGTTCTTTAAAAGTACATCGAAGACTTTGTTATCGTGGGCGTCCGACCCAGAAATTTATTTAAAAAACTTTTGGTGTAGGTTCATGCATTTGCTAAGATAACTTTTCTGTCGAAAATTAAAATATCCACTTGGAAACATTAAATTCTTCCAAATTGAATAGGAATTTAGATATGTGTTCTGGCATTTTATCAATCAAACGAATAGAGTAGTTTTCATACCAATTTAATTTCAGTAAACAGTCGACTGGTGAATCTCTTGAAGAAAATGCTCATAGTTGAACTATTTGAAGTGAAATGTACAAGTGTCTGTAAAATTCATGAAAACAAGGTGATAGCTAATTGTTATTTGTCGAGTTTACCTTCCTTAGCCACATCTTGAGTTAACTTCTATAATGTTTAAAAACTGGCAATAGGTTGTAGTAATTATCTTATTGTTACCCATGATCTGAGATTTTAAGAGTGAAGTGATAGCCTCCTAGTCATTCAGGTCCTAATGGGAGCTTTGAGGTTTCATAAGAAGAAATAAAATAATTTTCTCATAATCCCAAGCTAAAGGAGATTAAAATTTGATTAAGATAACTTTTATTTATTTATTTCAAATGGCAGGCGTTTTGATAGTTATCATTATCCCTTTAATGGACTTCAGTCTTCACGTATGGGAAGGAACATCAAAGTGGCAAAAAGTTGAGAATGGGGACAGAATAATGATTCCCAGACGTAAAAGAGACAGACAGGTACAAAGGCAGAGAAAAGGTGAGATGAGTACTGTGAAAGGGGTCGACAATGACATACAGTGGGTTGATGGTAGTTTGGAATGAGAAGTCGACTGCCAGTTAATAGACATTTTTTGCCGTATGAGTATACGTTGCCCAGGGTGCACAATGTGGAGGTAAGTCTATCTCACACCCCGGTTAAAATAAATTAAGATTG